GGGGGGGTTACACTTACACATAGCCCCACATGATAACAGATTACGGTAACCCACTGCCAATTTATCAGCTGTTGCTCACTTCTCTTTTCCAGTGATACTGACTGATAATGATATGCTTTTCTCTTCACCTCGCTGTCTACTGTCTTTCTTTATTTTTCTAGCGTCTAAGACCGAGAGAGGCTGACCAGAGACACCCATTCGATTTCGAGATGCACGGGCAATTTTTATAAAATGTGAAGTGCATTCCCATGCTCAACAGTGTGCTCTGTGCGTTTCTCAACTAACTACGTCTATGGAATAGTTACCACCGTTGGGATGAGGTTTTTTTTATTAGTAAGAGTTTTACAGCACTTGCAACACAATAAGATCATATGTAAGTGTCGAAGATTAGATTAGAGGTGTTACAAGAGAGTAACAAACACAAAAAAGAAGGAGGGGAGATAAAGATGGAAGTTGTTTGATAGGAAAGAAGAAGCAAACCACACCAGAGCACCCGCCAACCACCCACTGGGATAAGGAAGACAATTTAACACAAATAAGACTATAAAAATGTAATGTACTACGTGTAGACCTTTCACCTGATGCCAACTTTTCGTTCAATTATTCACGAAAATTCTCACCTTGCCACCCCGGCGAGATAATGTGACGATTGGTACTAGATCTAGGTCACGTAAAGTCACTGATTAAAAGATCTGTGTCAACACCAAAATGCATCTCCCCCTTTCTCTCTGCACTCGCGGTACAACCAGTGAGTGCTGGTCGGATGAAGTTGAGACGACATCTAATGATGTACACGTAGGTCTATAGTGTCGTTCTTGTTCAGATGAATGTCTTGGACATGTGGCCGTTAGAGAAGGTTCGACTGTTTATCGAGATTAATGTGGGGCCCGCTGCTGGCCTACTTTATGAGTCACTACGTACAGCTTTTCGGAGCAACACTGTGGAAGATACTGAGACATCACAGAAGTTGGTTAATCTCATCAGGCGCATGTACGAAGAGACACGTTGCATGGTTATACATAAAATGGCCAGCTCACTGACAGCTTTGACATCAAGACCTGTGGGATGTTTACTATCACCTTTCCTCTTTATCTTGGCTATCGACTGGCTGATGAAGGAAACCACCAGAGGCCACAGAAACGGCATTCAGTGGACCCATGGACACAGTTGGACGATCTGGATTTTGCAGATGACTTGACACTTTTGTCACACACTCAGGAACAGATGCAAGCAAAGAACACAATTTTAAACAGCCTATCATCAGAGTTTGTTGGATTGAGGATCCACCCTGGTAAATCAAAAGTCAGGATAGACGCACTACGAAAGGAGCAGGTCACAGTAGAGGGAAATGCACTAGAAGACGTCGAATCCTTCTGTTATCTTGGGAGTAAATTTTGTATAAGTAAGTAACAGAGAGGGAGGAACAGGCGCTGAAATAAAGTCGCGTATTGGAAAGGCACAGACTGCTTTTATTTCTTTGAACAGGATTTGGAGGACCAGGGATATCTCACTACGAACAAAACTGAGGATTTTCAACTCAAATGTGAAGTCAGTCCAATTGTATGGATGTGAGACGTGGAACACATCTCAGACGTGCATAAAGAGGATCCAGGTTTTCTTGAACAAGTGTCTGAGGAAGCTACTGAGAATCAGATAAACAGACAAGATCACCAACGAGGAAGTAGGCCTATTAAGAAGAACGAGACAGCCCAGTCAGAGATGAGGTGGGAAGAAGGCGTTGCCGATGGATTGGACACACTTTCGGGAAGTCAAGCAGCAACATAACAAGGAAAGAGTTAAATTGGAACCTACAGGGTAAAAGATCAAGGGGAAGACCACGTGGAACCTGGAGAAGAGTCACGGAAATGGATGTACAGAAAAGTGGGAAGACATGGAGTGGCATCAAATGACTCGCCCAGGATAGGGAAAGGTGGAAATGGAAAGTGTTTGTTCTTTTTTGGCCTATATATCCTGATCCAGGGTGAAAAAGGCAATGATGATGACGTACAAGTACAACTTCTCGGTCTAAACGGTTGCGGTCATACAGCCTTGGGATGATAATCGTTATTAATAAAATAGGCCTACAAAAATTTAAAAAATATTTTTTTAAATAATAGCAAAAACAAAGATTCAAAGTTGTGAGGAAGGCTATGATCATGATTATATGCCGACATGCTTATATA